ATATGATGTCTGGTTTGAAAGAATTAGGACACCCCCCATGTTCGGAGACACTTTGTACAGACAACTTGGCACCTCCATAGAATCCTGTTTACCTGAATCCTCTCACACAGCATCTATGCATGGCTTTGGGGCAACAGACATTCGAATTTTATTTGTCCTTCAGGACAACATGACTTGCGCCATTCAGTGTTTCCACAGAATTTTATTGAAAAGTTCATGACTTGACTACTCAATTTTTAAACAAATTTTAAAGTGTATTTTAAGATGGAGTTAGTGAACACTATCTGTTTAATATCTTTCCTGCCACAGGTAATAGCTTTAGTAGGAACTTGAGGCATGCAAAGAATGCAGCATATAACCCTCACTCATTCTGCTCACTCAGCTTGTTTTAACTAGCTAAAGAAGTACAATAAGGCAGTCTTCTTTAGACTAGAATTATAAGTTCCCATGAAAACCTTCCAAGTGTGCAAAAAGTGGAGAAATGTTCATAGTTTGCAATGGAAAACTGAAACATGAGTGGTTTGGGATTATTTTTAGTTCTTTAATTAACATTTTTTATTAACAATTAAGGGGGTATTAACATTATTTTTTATTGTAAAAAATGGTAGGTTACTATCAAAATATTTCCCCATAATATTTATTAGAGAAAAAAGACCTAGATTTTTTTTTTTTTATGCTGACAAAAACGTTGGCTACTTTTACTTGGGAGAAGATGCCTGATTTGCAAGGAGGAGGAAACATTCTTGCCCAGCATATACTTCTTTAGTAGCCTGAGCTGCTGTTATTCAAAAGACAGAATGTTTTAAGTTGGTGACAGAACAGAAAAATTCATTGCTGATGAAATACTGGAATGTCAGAAAATACAGTCCTGCAGAAAGTGATGGATTGATAAATCTATAAAATTTGGTTCTCAAAAAAGTGGAGGTATAAAATTTGGTATTTTGCCACAATTTCTTGAATGCTTTCAGAGACCCAAATGATATCTCTTCAGATTTATGAACTGCATTGAATAGCATTTAAAGTCTCATGCATTAGCATGGGAGCACTTAAAAATAGCATTTAAAGTCTCAGGAGCCAGAATAGCTGTTAGTAGAAGAGTACCACCCAGATAGCTAGCCCATGAACAAAGGCATGTATGCGTATGCATTTGTAATTGCATACATGTAGCTAAGCACATAAATGTGTGCAGCTTATACATTATTTGTAATTATTTAATTATATACAATGTTTATATATGTATCTGTTTAATAAAAGAAATCAATATATATTGCCTATATAACTACAGACTTTGTGTGCTAATTGTTGATGCTAAATGTTAATGATATTTGCAATCTGCTTGGCTTATTTTCCTCCACATTAACAGGGTCATGATCCCCAAAATATCGTGATTTTTGTCTGGAATAATCTCTTGCTTTTCACAGCCAGTTTCACAATGAGTTACTTGTCTGTGGCTGTGATCCATGATGCATTGTCAGATTTCTGACTGTGCCCTTGGCCCCACAAGTACTTAATACTGGGAGGAGCACACTGACTAGAAAGTGTTTACAGGATGTAAGTGATTAATATTATTAATTGACCTTGTTGGCCCAGAGAAATGTATTTCTGCTTTAAACTCTGTGGCACTTCTGCATCTGTCAGTAACTCACCGGCTGGGGAACTATTTTAAAATTTCAGCAGGCATTGGGAGGGAGACAGCCAGGTGGCTGGAAGACCCCCACTGACCACCTCTTCTTGCTGTTCAGGCAGAGAACTCTTCCTCACAAATCTTCTTCCAGTCTTAGATCACATTAAACACAGGCTTAATGTGTTCCTCTCTCTCTTTTGATATATAGGTCATCAGGGAAACCTTTCAGAAGCCGTGAGCTGGTGGTGTTTATACTAAGCCAGCACTGAATCAGGGAAGCCGTGGGTCAGCCACTAGCCCATTCCAGAGCCAATTAGGAAAATTTGTAGCCCAGGGGCCTAGGAGAATAGTCTCACAGAGGTCACCACTGGGAAGGGGTGAAAGTCAGAGGTGGGTCTGAGGGGGGTTTGGGACCTCAGTCTGTAGTTCCGTGGAGGAGGAAGAGGCATCAGAAGCACGACAGAGGTGAGATGGTTTAGCCTGAAAGAAAAGAGATGAGGTTCATGTAGGAATGAAGTCTTACAAGTGAGAAGATCCTGTGCTTAGCACAGACATCTTTTAGCAGTACAGGGAGCTGAAAAAAGATTGGGTAAAGTAGCTGCAAGGAAGGTGTATCTTAGCATTAACACTATGGCTGGCCTGAAATAAGAGTGAGTGAGTCATTCCTTTGAGGAGTCAGATGAAGACCAAGGAAAAGATGGAGGAAGAAAATGAGTGAGGGAGAGAGGAAGAATAAAGAAGGTCCATTAAACACATGACATGAGGGAAAGTAGGTTGAAAATTAAAAACCAGAACAGAAGTTGCAGCCTTATGTAGTAAGATGTTCAGGAGTCAAGTTAGGAAGAATTCTACTTAACTTTGCCTTTTCTTCAACCAGAAAGGTAAGAAGGTAGCTTCCCCTGCTTGGTGAACCCATGTAAAGATCTGCTGTTGAGTGCATGCTTGGCAAGCTGTTAGGAACTTCATCCTTGTTCCTCTGAAATAAAACTTGCAGAAGCCAGTCATGTTGGGCAGGACCAGAACTTGGGTCTGAAGGATAGTGGCCATGCATTTCATCTGTGCCAAAATCTTGGGCGGGCCTGTGCCTATGGACTTAGAAACCAGCTGGTTTTGGAGGAAAATCCTTAAGTAAATTTTCCAGTGGTGCAAGTCAAAGGAAGTTTGCATTGAATAGGGTGGGAACATACCATTTGTGCCTCCTCATGTTCCTGTGTGTCTGTAAAGAGGCAATTATTTAATATGCCACTGTCTCTTTGAATAAATGTCCCAGGCTAACAATGAAGTTTTCAAGTCTCTGGTAATGACTGTGCTTTTAAGTACAAGTATTAATTTACTGAAGATCAAATTCCAGCTTACCCTAAGATAATTTAAATAATAGTAGTAAAAAAAAAAATCAATAAAAGATGAAGATTTGAGTCAACTGAAGCATTTTTTAATGTGATTTTGCAGATTGTTTTGGTTGGTAAAACATCCCCATAATCAGGAAGAAACCCAAACCCTACATGTTTTATCCAGCCATTTTCAGAAGGTTGTTTTTATTCAACTATAAGAATGTTTCAGGACCTCAAAATTAAAATTACAAAATTATTCTTCCTCCCCTTAGACCAAGTGCAACACTTTGTTTGGTGAAAAAGAGGAGGATTTTTACTTTTCATGTTGACAAACAATTTGAAAAACAGTAATTTTATGTTGAACAGGAGTTCATAATATGTATAGTTTTGGAACAGCAAGCAAACTTGTCACATTAGTTTCTTGCACTTGTCATGTTTAAGGAAGACTGTGGATCAGTCACTAAAAGATCAAAACGACAATCAAGAGAAATAGCTTCAGATTTTTATTGCACTTCTGAGTCACTGATTCAAAAAGCTAAGGCACTTCATTCTAGTACTTTCTATAAAAAGCAAGTGAGGTCTTTGATTGATGTTGTTAAGGGCTTTGCATAATTTTTTTTTAAAATGTTTGCCATATATTAATATTTCATTATTTTGAAAGTTCCTCCCATGGTTATATAAAATGTTGCGCTTTTCTGCTACAGTACTGCACTTTTCAACTCCACTTTTCTAGAACTATTGTGCATTTTAACCTCTCTCCTCATCCTGTAAAAACTTTGCTTTTAATAATTCATCAGAAGTGTTCCTTGGAAGACACCCCTTCAATATGGAACTCCCTGTGTTTATTAAAGGAAGGGTGTTGACAGGCTTGAGGTGGGAACCACTTTTTTCTTAATAACTTTGATGTCAAAAGACAGTTGTGTAACAGCAGATGGCCTTCTGGTGATAATTTCCTGCATGGCTCCTTTGGAAACACCAATCTGATTTAATTTATTTTTTATAGGAAATACCAATGAATTTTGTGGATCCCAAAGAAATTGACATCCCAAGTCATGGAACTAAAAACCGCTATAAAACCATCTTGCCAAGTAAGTGAGTGAGACCATGGTTTCCTACCATGACATTTAGTCCTGCTTTAAGAACATATTGCTGTGAAAATCTAGCTGTCTTTATCTTTGGTCGTTGTGTACCTATTTATAAACGTATTTATAGTCATGTAGAAAGATAACAAAAACCCAGTGCAGTAGGACTGGCGAATGCAGAACTCTCGCTGGATGCCTTAGTCAATACACACACTTTGGCAGCATCCTAACCCCATACTGAGGTGCAGCCTTAGTGCATGCTGATTTTCTCTGGAGGACAGCTCAGGCAGATGGGTAGGGAGAGGTCTGCCATCCCTCACAGTAGCTCCCCCAATCTGGAGGATGAGAAGACCAAGACTTTTGCCTCCATCACAGTCCACACTGTCTTGCAGTCACTGAATTCATTCTGCTGGATCAAGCTGCTCAGGGTACTGTCCAACGTTAAGTGGCCCAGACTACAAAAAGCAAGTGCATTCTATACTTTCTTGTAGTAGACTTCCATCTTTATAAGTCCTCTGGTTGTTTGTTTTTTTTTTCTTCATGTGCCAATTGGCTTTGTGGAAATCTGTATTACTAAGAAAACTGCTCTCACACAGTGCTGCCTCATCATCACTGTTAACTTGTTATGCTTTGCTATACTGCTTCTGTATTTTCATTGGCCCAAATTTTTTATTTCTGACCAAGTAAGAATTGCTTTGTTATAATTAGAGGCGATTGAGAACTTTTCAGTGGAATAGTTTTCCTTCAAAATACACGTTTCTCTGAAACGCAACTATTTGCATAACATTTATTGGTGGATAATGAGATATTTCGTTTCTCTTTCATTAATAATTTTGTTTTGTGTTCAGTTTCAAAATAGGTTGCAGAAGTTTTTAACACTGCACTAAATATAGACATGAATAGCTGAGTTTTTATAAGTTTTGACATCACCAAAGTGAAAAGTTCAGTGATCCAAAATGTTGGAGGACACTCCCACAAAAAAAAATGTAAACACATCCCTTTGCGTAGGTTTGGAATGAAGAATACTTTTAAACTGACAGCATATCTTTTCTGATCGTCTCTATAGTGTCCTTGTAGGCCTATGTTATGTTAGTCATGCAAGTTCACATGCTTTAAATAGCAAGGCTTTTTTCAGTGAGCCTGAATGCCTTGTAATTTGTTCACATCATACAAATGCCTTGCAGTGAAATTAATGAAAACTGATGTCCTTCAGCCGCTAGACTAGTCTCAGAAATATGATACGTAGCTGGGAAAAAAACCTCCTTGTGTGGAGTCCTGGCTTCCCTTCAGCCCCCAGGAAAAGTTCCATTGTCTTCAAGGTTAATTTATCCGTTGCAACCAATAGCTGTGTGCCTCTGAGTGCAATTGAGGAATGTTGGAGGGAATTAAAGAAAGTAAGTAACTAAATGAAAGTTATATACCCAGTAATCAGAAAATTCAGCGTCCCTTAGAGTCTGGCCCAGTGTCAACAGGATGTACACGGAGGGTGAAATCCTGACCCCTTTGACGAAAGCAGGACTTTTGCCACCAGCTGCAGTGGAGCCAGGATACTGCCAAGCCTCCCTCCGCCTGAAGAGCAGACTTTGGGAAAAAGTTGTCCCTTCCCATAGCATCTTGCATCCAAGCTGCCCCAGCCACTATCAGGTTCGCCTTCAGCAATGCCTTGCAAATGAGATGAGTCCTGTTTCACTGCAGCATGTGTTTTGAATCTGGACATGACAGCTGGGCCATGGTTGATGCTGATGAGCTTTGAGAACCAGCATGCCTTTGTGTTTTTACCTCCAGTTAGCCAGGACATGCAGCTAACTCCCCGGCACATTTTCAGTCCAAGCATGCTTGCCAGCGTGCACTACAGCTACTCGCTGACAGGCGCTTTGTAACCACCCTTGACAGAAATCAAAAGGCCTGTTGTGTGTTAGCACCAGGCTTTTTCAAAGAAGATACTTTGAGGATTGAGGCACATGCTCATAATAAATACTCACACATCCCACAGCCAATCCAAGAGGGTTTGGAAAATATTTACCAGCCTTCCTAGTTTCCTGCCCAGATGATAGGAACCTGCTGCTTCATACACCTGCATCAGCTTTTCCATTCCCAGCGCTGGGTGCGTCTCCTGAATCGGGGCACCTGTGGTGACAAGTGACGCTTGAGCTGATGGACTATCTCCTAAAATACCCAGTCCTGACAGCTCTACCCTCTGCACTGCGGAGGCTGTTCTCATTTTCTAAGAGATAATTCTGTGACAGGGTGCATGAGGGCAGGTTCCTGTTAACAGATACTACCCAGCCTGACATGCTCATGGGAAATAAAACTAATTCCCAATGAAAATTGTTCTATATGGAAAACTATGAAGTGCAGGAAATGTTACATTTCTAGGAAACATGTTCCAGTTGCCATTTAATGTAGCCAATGCTCTTATGCAAACACAAGGATGTTTTCTAAGTGTTATTTGCTTTATAATAATATGCTAATGCAACTAATGAGGGGATGCTCTGGGATCAGAGGCAAGTGGCTAAACAGTTCTTTAAAATCATTGTTTGTCCATCCTTCCTCCTGACTGCGACCCTGCCCACTGGTCCTGTTAAACTCCATGCTGTATTTTCAGCTGCATTCTCCCTGCCATCCACCTACAGCATTTCTCACTCCCTCTGAGCAGCTTCCCAATCCTGCACACAGATTTTGCAGTCTTTCATCACAGTCACATGCTTGTGGCAGAAGACCAGCCCCACTGCTCTCTTCTAATCCTCTTACTCCACTTCTTCACCTTTGCCTGCTTGTCTCCTGCAGCTCCCGCTACATGTCCTTGCAGCAGGACATCAGTTTCAAAGCCCTGTATCTTTTCCCCTTCTTATCTCACTTTTCCACCTCAAGCTAGACAGAGAATTCCCATGGTGCTTCTGAGCATGTGTAAGCTCTTGCTTACAAAGGAACAAATGGTTTAACGCTATTCTGTGAGTGTCTTCATGTGGGCACCGCATCCAAGGTACCTGGATGTCTTTCTTTACCCCTTTCTGAAGAATATCCTCAGAGAAAAAGCCTACATGAAAACACTCCCAGCAGGACAGCAGATTCACAGAAACATGAAGGTAGAAAGCACTTGGTGTGCCAGACCCTCAAAGCTACAAACTGTTGCTTGAAGTGCCTGTGCTAAAACTGGCCTAGGCACTCCAGCTAAAGACAAGGAGAAAGTTAAATCTAAATCATTTGAACAAAGCACTTTATTCTGCAGGCTTATAGATAGATGCTGGAAAACTGCTGCTCTTGATGTTAGGAATTCTCAAGCTCCCTTGCATTACAGTCCTGACTATGAATGGTTGTATTTGCTCCCGTCCTGCTCCCAAATAAAGACAATACAATCATCAGCAGGCTTTCAAAGACTAAAGATAAAAGTTATATTTGTAAAGCAGAATGAGAAAAACTGTTTAAGCACAGTGGAATTCAACATCAGTTCATCAAAGCATTTCTGTACATTCATGTGATTCAACAAAATGTGTCCTAGTTGCAGTCAGCAGTATCATAACATCTGTAATATTTGTAAATAGCCAGTATTGTAATTGATCTACATAAGACTCCATAGTTAAAAATGTAAATGGATATTAGGCAGACCTTATTTTTAGTAGGTAAAAAAGATGCCCTTTGTATGAATGAAACTTTAGTTTGCAATGCTGAAACATGTTTTAAAATGCAGAAGCACTCACCGTGATAAACCTGTTAAGCTGTCCGTTGAGAAATCCTGGATTCTATTGGAAGTGCCAGGAAATTATTCAGATTAGATTAAAAAATGATGTATAGTTTACAGATGTTTTATACATTAAATATTTTGAGGCAGTTGTATTATTTGCAAGTCTAATCACCTATTCCCCACCTGGCAGAGATAGGGAATGCAGTTTGGTATGAGTCTTCCACACTTGGTGTTACAATGTTTGCAAAATAATACAAGTATCCATAATTCATTTGTAGACTGCAAGCAAAACCAGGAAGAATAGAGGTGGATTAATTTAAAATTGTTTCAGCATCTGAAAGATTTATGATCTTTCAGGCTGCAAGTGTGAGAACAGTCAGTCTCTACAAAATTTTCCTCTTCATTTCCTGCTCACAAAACAGAAATACCTTAGGGTCAGCTCTTCTCACAGTATGTCAGTCCTGCTGTTGGTACAGCAACTAAGACTGGACTAGGAGTAACAAATTACTTATCCTGGAAATGCTACAAATGTGAACACACCCATGCCCTAAAGAATTCAGAAAATAATAGCAGCCAAAATGGATGAGTAAGAAATGCCCCCAGCACATCATACCCGCCGTACAACAAATACAGCCTTTCCAAAGGGACAAAGCCCCATGTCTTCGTGACAAAGTGGTGCTCATGGGGTGGGTGAACCTCCAGTGTTGATGGCAGTGGGAGAGGCTGTCCAGCAGTGCCACCATATAGCCCAGCTTTTTCCCTGCACCAGGCAGTCTCATGGGGGCAAGCTACAGCCCCTTTAACTTCCGTTTGCCCCAGCCTGGTAAATTCAGGTCAGCATAAATTCATTAAATTCCTAGATACACAGGAGAAAATAATAGTCATTTTGCCTCAGTCAGAACTGTAGGAGACATTTTTTATTAGCAATTATATAACTGCTTAACAGCCCTACTGCATTTCAAGATGCTTTACAAACATTGATGAATTCAGCCCTGCAGCCACCATCTGTGTCCTTCTGCTGTAGCTTCACACTCTCAGACTTAGCCATCCTTGAGGAAAAAGACCATTACCTCCACGATATTTGTCATGCAGGAGGAAGCTAATTACTTCCATTTGTGTCAGATGATTGCTTAGTGGCTCTGGATCTTTAGCAGCACTCAGGTTTTCCTCATTTCAGAGCTGAGTTTACAGCACTTACCTATTTCATAACTGATCAGGACTGTTAATTTAAAAAAGATTCCCATTTGGAAGCAGTATTTTTTTTATTGATTTGGCTTGGAAGGAGGTCTTAGAAATTGTGAAACTGTTTTGGCTGCTCCTCAGTAACAGAGGGATTTATCTCAAGACATCGTAATTAAACTGGATGTTGAGTCTGCTTGGAAGAGGTTTTTTAAGGTAGGGGTCAAGCTACACCAGAATCAGAGGCATTGTGTGAGCTAGAGGAAGCGGGTGTTTTTTCAAGGCCACGTAGCCTGAGGGGTTTGTGGAAATGGCTAATGGTCATTCTGTGCTGAGAAGGAATGAGAGGTTTCCTGTCCTCATATTGTTAAGGGGGAAAAAAACTCTTTAAGAGAAAAAGTTGGGAAAGCTAGTACAAGGAGATTTTAATACAAGCTAACTAGGGTTCATGTTGTGCTATTAACACAGAGGACAAGACTCCCATGCACAGACTTTGAACTAGAATTCTTGCATTCATTTCCACGTTTTAAGAAACATACTTTCAAAATACCAGCCTGGATCCTGCAAAGGCTCCACTCCTGTCCAAGACACTCCTGTGACCTTCAGTCAGAAAAGGACATGAAGTATGCTTGGGATCATCCCTCCTCTTCCTTTGATTTAGAAAGGTTTTATCTTGTTCTTAGGAACAGGATGAAAAATCACAGAAAAACTCTGAAAGAACCAGATTTTGCTACAGCATATGTGCGTCTATTATATATCTCTTGTGTAAACAGCAGGGCTACACAGTAAATAGTGTTTTCTTACATTCCAGTTCATCAACCAGATATGTATCTTTGAACATACTGCCTAGATTGCACTCAGCAGAGCAGCTATCCAGAGACTATTTCCAAATCAATAGGTATTTGTATACTGTCAAAAAGCTGCTGTTTCCAATTAATTATTTAAACAAATTGCCAGAAGAAAAGATTCTTTTTTTTTTTTTTTCAGTACAGGAATATTTCCATAGCATTTTGTAAACGGTAGAATATATTTTTCAGAAAAGGTGTGAAGAAAGTCAAAGTGTGCCCCTAGACAGCCACAACACAGGCACTTCACTCCCCTTGTGCTTATCCCTTTCTGTTATGCTATGGAACTGAGACCTTACTGGCTTTAACTCCAAAAGGGTAATAATACATGGGGATCACATCAGCACAAACGAGCCAGCAAAATGTCCCTTGCAGGAGGGATTTAGTAACCCCCAGCTCTGTACTCAACAGAACTAGTTCCCACTCCTTTCTAGATCATCCAGGACAGTGAAGGAAAGATGAGTGAAAGATGAGCGCAAAGGAAAATATTCCCCTATTTTTGGCAGTGTCTCTAGTCCTGTCCACATGAATGGTCACAAATTGTGTCAGATGAGAACACAAGACTGAAGGGAAGGATACGGATTACCTAGTCCAGCCCTTTACAGTGAACTTAAATTGATATAAAAACACATAGTTGATTTCATCTCTGGCAGAGGGAGCTTTTCCTAATTTAATTCCAACTGAAGTCATTGGAACAGTAAAGCTTCAGGCAAAGATACCAAAGTTGAATCCAGAGGACTTGGTGTAATTATCTAGCATTCAAAAATGATATGACACAGGTTTCAGAGACAGTCTAGGCAAGTTAGCTTGATAACATGGGCAGGTTGGACCTTGCTGAACGTTGCCTGGATCTGATAGCATTGCTTCAGTGCCCTCAGCTTGCTGAGATACTTCTGTGCAGCCCAAGCACCGTGCAGTAGAGGTGTACTTTAGTTAGATGTGATGATCCTTTGCAGAGAATTTGATGCATAACGTGTTAGTGCACGACCCCAAATAACAGTGGGTGTTTCTTCAACAAGTCTTTGATTCTCTATAGAAAGCTTCTAATTATGGGTTTTCTTTTCAATTTCCATCTTCCTTGTGCTCTTAGATCCTCTAAGCAGAGTGTACTTGAAAACAAAAAATCCATCTGACTCCTTGAGTACCTACATAAATGCTAACTACATTAGGGTAAGTAAATGTACACTCTTCATGTGCTTTTGAGACAATATTTGATTTTCCACATGAATAGCTGATTTTGCCAAAATGCCACTCATTTTATTCCTGCCCATGCTCACTGATAATTCCTCATCTTTTTGTCTACAATGGTGTGATAGAAATAGTTTTATGAGCTATTTGTAACAAAGACCACATAGCCATGAACGTACTAAAATGGTTGCAGTAAGAAAACAATTTATCAAATAGTTTATGAAAATATTAAGAATCACGTGCAATACTATTTCTTTACTTCAGTATTTAACATTTAATATTTTCGTACTGCCTTATAGTAAGGAAAAGAGGGTTACCTTTTAACAGTGACGGAGATACCTGTATTTTAGTAAAGAGAAGATCAAAGTCAACAACAGTATTAAAAGCTGTATGGTTGCTCATTGCAGTCATATTATCCATAAGCAAGGTCAGTGGTGATGGGGTTTTTCATGCAAAGATTGATTTTTGTATCAATTGGTAGTCCTGAAATCACAAGTTACACACACAAGCACCAGCACACACTCTTCTTCACATTTTACTCCCTGTATTGAATGGTTAAATGATACAAAGACCTTATCAGCATGAATTCTGTTGGAAAGCATTATTTATAAGTGTCAACTATATTATAATCCTTGATGACACACACAGAGCTTTCCTGAACTCATGACACAGTGTATGTTGAATAGACTATTATGAAACTACTTCAGTCATGTTTTAGAAGTGTAATCCTCTATCTGGAAAATTAAATGTTCTGATTAGAGTTATATGCCAGATCCTCAGCTGGAATAAATGTAATTGTGGAACTGAAATTTGGCCTCAGAGCTCTACAGTGGTGTTGCTTGTTTAAATAACAGTACATTAATATACTCATACACATGCCCCATGCCCCCTACACTGCCTTACTTTATATCCTGTACTGTTTTGTATGAAAGACATTGTCATGTAACTAAGCAGAGTGGTTCTCTTCAGAGAGCAACTCTTCCATCAGCCAGGCCACACTTTGAATCCTCTGGGATCTCCCTTTTCACCATGCTACCACCCTTCAGGCCAACAAGTGGTGATTTCTCCTGCTGCTAACACTGGTTGAACTGTCAGCAACTGCAGAAAAAATACAACCCAGCAATGAAATGAAACTTCACATCTATGTATGTGCTATCATTAGGCTTGCTAGGATCCTGACAGACCTGTCTTGAACAAAATATATTCAGGCAGATCGGTGAGTAAAACAACTGTTTATACCATCTGAGGATCAGTTCTGTTGTTTCATCCAATGAGTGACAGCTCTCAGGGAGAAGGGTAGACAAAAGGAAGACCCATGGCTAGAGGCTTCCACAGGCCTCCAGCAGCTCTCCATCCACTCATCCCCTTCAGACATTGCCAGGCTCTCCTGATCTGCATTACTCTCAGGAATGCTGTCATTGAACAAACTCACAAGTTCTTCTTACCTAAAAAATAAGAAGGCAGTCTCTTGGTTTTCCCATTTCTTCTTGCCATTCCCTTTCCTCTTTTTCCCTGCTGCTTGCCTGACCTTTCCTTGACCTCCTATACACTTGTGTGTCTCAGGACTCCCTACACTGCTATGCTGTCCGTCCTATAAGGTCTCATAAAGGTGCTTCTCCCTTAGTAAAGATGCATAGCAGAGTCTTTGACTCCACAAGCATTCATGTATTTTAAACCTTTTTCCCTGTCATGAATCTTCATAGAAACCAGTTGTACCGTTCTTGGTTTGTTTGTTTTTTCCTGTGGCTTGTTGACTGTAAACTACCTTGTAAATGCTGTAGCAATATAAACCATGGATTAAAGTATCATTGGATGATGGAAAGCCCCAACAATCTGGAGAACAGGCTAAGTTAGAAGAAGCCAAGTAAGCAGAGAAATTTGAGAGGGACCAATGTATTCTCAGGACCATTTCAGTCCATGGAATCAATAATTTCCAGAGGCAAAACTGTTCTACTGAAAAATTTCTGATCTGCTCTATTGCTAGTCATAACTGCTTTCAGTGAAAATAACTCTTTTTTTTCTTTAATTCCAGATCAATTTTTCTGCTTTTCTAGAACATTCACCTGCAATTTTGGTCAACCACATGAATTTAAAGTAAATGCTTTTGTGTCTGTTTCTATACCAGGGATATGGAGGTAAAGAGAAGGCTTTCATTGCAACTCAGGGACCCATGATTAATACAGTGAATGATTTCTGGCAGATGGTTTGGCAAGAAGACAGCCCTGTCATTGTTATGATCACAAAGCTAAAAGAAAAAAATGAGGTATGACGACTAGCCAAACTGAGAAATTCTTCCTATGGCTGTATATTGTAGAAAGAACCTTAGCAGATATGGAAGGAAGCTAGCAGATAACTGGCCTTCAAATACTCTCATAATGGGCAATGTGAAAAGTAATGTAGAGGTAGCCACATACATCAACTGCAATTGCATAGTAATCATAAAAGATGTATTTTAAAATGAAAAAAAAAAAAAATTCCATTTTCTAGATCTCTTGCTGTTGGGTTCATAATTTTTTAAGAAACACCTCATTTATGTGTTGGTCACCTCTGTTCTTCTTGTTATTTTCTGGTATATAAAGAATAAATGATTCGTGTTATGCTTAGAGCTTTCCTGACATGGTTGAAGTTTACAGTTTACTATAATGGCAGTTTTTAATCCATCCCACATATTACAAATTTTCTGGAGCATCCAGAAATACAGTTTCGGTTCCTAACTGCCAATACCATGGGGAGACTTAGCCAGAATAGAAATACACAGTGCTTTACCTTAGTACCAAGTAGAGATGACAATTGCATTTTTATTGCTAATGGTCATCTAAGTGCCTGGTATACCTTCTGTGACTTTTGGATCGATTCCCAAATACATCTTTAATAGCTTTATTTCGTATTCATGTAAATTGTTCCCAGGCTTTCCTTGATAGTGCCAGTCCATATTTGTGCCTGCCAGACATTAGGAATGCAATCACCCTTCCAAGCAGAGGGCCAACACAAAATTCTGTTCTGGAAGACTGAATGTTAAAGTAGTTTAGAGGACTTGTGTACAAGAGTGAGACAGATATAAAGGAGTTTGACTTTTCTCCTGAGTCCAAACTTCTAGACCTGGTAGCAATTCCCAGCTCCAGATAGGTGCCTCAGCCAAGTCTCAGCACCTTGCCAGGTAAGCACCAGGGCTATATTGCCCCTGCTCCACTCACACCTCTGCTCTTCAAAGTCAGGTGGATGTGATGATAGAGAAACAGAGTTTATTCAGGCAATAAACTCCAAGTCTGAGTGATCGAGGGGCAAAGATCCTGAATGTGTTCCCAGGGCTCAAACTCACTTCTCCATTTACTTGTGGGCTCAGTAGACATACTCTTCTTAGTTCTGCCCTTGACTGCTACTTGGCTTTTTGTCACCATGAGTTTGCACTTCTAATATGAACTTAAAATTCAGTGGATTTTAAGAAAGCTCTATGTAAAAAGTAGTTTGGTCCTGTAAAATATCCCAAGACATATTTCCAAACTATGTGCCATTTTGCACTAGACTGTTCAAACAAGTGTCCAGAAACCTACATTAAAAAGATTAATCCTGAAAACGTAGAAAACTCACTCCAGCCTAACTGGCCAAAATAATAAGTATTTCACTGAGGAAATGCTGACTGTTTAAACACTCACATCTGACACTGTGTAAGAAGAATGACTTGAAAGAAGTGCCCAGTGGTTTCCACCATGTCAGGAAGCCCTGTGTTTACCTGAGTTACGCAGGCTGCACTGATGTTTATCCGCATTGTTGTGGCCTGGCAGTGGTAATTTCCTCCTAATAGAAAGGGTGGGGAATCTCAAATCGTTCCCAGGCTATAGAGAGAGGCTGTGTTTGCACAAGCTGTCCTGCCCTGTCTAGAAACCTTAGGAACTCTCCCACCGTTAGCAGGTTCCTCCTGAAACCTTGCTTGCTAGTGAAAAGAAAACAGCTTAGCAAGTGGCTGTGCTCAGTGTATTAAATTCAGTGTTAAAGTATTTTTTCTCTATGGAGAAGACAAGAGCAGATGTTATTTAGCATAATAGCATTCCGTATTTTTTCTTCTCTGTGGTCTGCTTTATTTTCAGCATTTTCAGGGAGATACATCTGCTGTATACACACATACAAATAATGTATTTGAAAGCATACTCATCCACTCATTCACATCCACCCCTGCACAAATAATCCCCCATACATGACTCCTAGCTGTAGGCCCCACTCCCCAGTTGGTATAACATTAGTCAGCCTCTATAGTATAAAGTAATGTATAACGAAGGAGCTCTCAAACAAGATACATGTGAAAAACTTGTTCTCAACAATAAACTCATTTATTTAGCATAGTGAAAGTATTTGGGACATTAGTGTCTTAGTTCAGCATACCTATGTGATGAATTTGCAATAACAATGGGTGGGAACCGTGTGAAATGATGCTAAACAAAGGGGTTTATAGAGTTACTTCCTTCCATGAGGTGAAAAAAATGGTTAAGACTCACTGTGGTAACCATTTTTGTAAGACAGATGAAGATATCATCTGCAAGTAGAGTGCTGAGCAAAATACTTGTTTCAGCTGTATGGGGGGAAAAAATGGAGCATTAAATGATTGGATTTTCTCTCTTTTTCATTTTGAAGTCTGATAAAAAAAAAGGAGATTGATTTGTAAGCAACAATAATGCTAAAGTAACTGTGGGTGCTGTGGGTATTTTAAGTAGAATCTGTAAAACCTGTCCTCAAAACTATACAATGTCTGAACAGACTGGAAATCTACCTGTGCAAGGAGAGTCCACAGCAAAGGAGCTTCTGCTTGAGCAAATAATAAGAAACTTGATATTCTAGACTATAATTTTAGGGTTAATATGAGGAAAAACACATCCTACCTAGTGATTTAGGTAATCTTCATGGTCACTGAAGAGCAGTAGTTACCTCCACAAGGTACCCATTCCACTCCAGGAGGATCACTCACTGAAGGTGACTATCTCTAATTTGTATTTCAGGACACTATCTTACAAAGCTTTATCCACAAGACACATACAAATGTCATATGTTACTGAATTTTGTAAAGACAACTGAGCAATGGAAATTAGACAAATATGGAGAGTGTAAGAATTTTATAGACTTCTCTATAATCTTGTAGAGAAGTTTATAGACTTCAATTGTATCAGCTATTTTTTGTAGTTATGCTATGTACTCCATAGATAACACACATTTAGTTTCCCTTCAAAACTTACTAGCAACATCACCCGTTAACCAGGAAACATATCTTAGGAAGCATAAAAAAAGAATATTGTGCAACATTCTGAAGAAGAAAGGACTAGTACTGACAGATGTATTAAACAATGCATGTTTATTCAACTCAGATAATGTAAGTCTTGTTGTCAGTAATTATCTAGGACAATCTTGTTAACTCACTGTTTAAAGCTCATATTATTTTTCATGTAACATTTTTTTCCTTCATTTGGTCTATAGGCACGCTTATCAATGCGTAGCAAAATAGATTCTGGAATTCAGAAATCCTACCTTTTAGAGAATTCACATAAGCCTCTTTGAAGATTAATTATTAGTTGAGTATTGGCACCATAGATATGTCAGGTTTTGGAAGAACTTAAGAAGATTTGATCCTAACTTTGAGGATTTTAGTATATGAAGGCAAATCCTGCAAGTTCTCTCACAGCATACCACTCATGCTTGACTTAGCAACAGTAAATAGAGAACAGGACTGAAAAGGCATTCTGATATTTAAGCTTTGCCATAATTATTCATTATTGTTATTTGTTGGCCTGGTTATTGGGACATTTAATGTGTAAATTTGTTGGCATAGCTATATGCATAAATAAACAAGAAGTGGAGCTGAAGTATAGCAACTTCACAAATACTTGAGAATTGTTAAACTGATTTTGTTCAGAGTCCAAATCCAGAGTAAGCAGAACAGGTAAATAACACATCAGCTGAGAGCACCTTCCTCCATTCAGCAGAACTGGGGGACTAGGTTGCAGTAGAAGCACTTCTGGCAAGTTAAAAAAACTGTGCTTCTGGGCACAGACCAGCTGTAGCAAATAGCTGGTGCCAGCCCCAGTCCAAGGCAGGGCCTAATCCTACTCAGTTATGGAGGTCCACCTCAGGAGTGGTCTCATGAGTCTGGCACCCAGCAGCTGTGGGATGGGGTGAGCAAGGAGACAGGACCAGGGATGGAGGGAGTCTAAACCTGCAGCCCTGTCACAGGGGGAGGGACAAAGGCTGAAATCAAGTAAAGGTCATGCAAGATAGTATTTCCTGTATAAACTTCCTGTTGGGATGAGAGAATGTTGTGGTGTTTTGTTTTGTTTTTTTTAAAAAAGTCAGGCATCAGATCAGAAATAATCGTTTCTTAGGCAAAAGCTACCTAATGGAAATTAATCCGAGGGAGGAATTTGAAAGATGTCAGTAAGATGAGATTTTCCATGTGAAAGTAAGAAGATTCCCAGGCTTTTTGCTGCCATGAAAATTGTTTAGGATTTCTTTTATTTTTTTGAGCTTAAGCATCTTTTAAGAAATTCTGCTCATAGCTGTGAAATGCTTGCTGACTACACAGAGGATTGTATGGGCAACTTCAAGCTCACAAAATACGTGACCTATTTGGAAAGTGCTGCAACAGGTGAAGATGCTGAAAGGGAAACTCTGTGGCCTGAAAGAAGAGCAAGGGACAGAATGAGGACCAGCACAAAGAGTGGAGGTGGAGGACTGTGTGATGATAAGAACAAGTGAAATCTTTCTTTTTTCTGATGTGTACTATATGTAATAAGCTTTTACTGATTAAAGACATGAAACTAGAGAGCAGCCTTTTCAACCACTGTGTTTGGCTTTTGAACAGGTTTAAAATCTACCTACTTGAGATCAGTAAAGTTTTCTTTTAGTTTCAAGTAACAGCTTGAGGCAATTTACTCTTTTTGCCAATGCTCCTGGGATTTTCTTTATTATTTTCTGTATGTCTGATATCTGTATCCCTCCCATCTTCATCTTTATCTCTTTTTTTACAATTAACTTTCAAAAGCATATTAATTCCCCCAAACATGTCTTCTTAGAAGTGCCTGAACCAGATGATCCCAGCTCTATTTTCAAGGCTATTTTTCGAAGCAGTGACAAACGGTATTTTTTAAAGATGCATGGAGATTGTGTTAAAAATAATCCATTGTACCTCACTAAATGTAGACAGACTGTTAAATGAAAGTTATTTTAATGAACCAGCCCCATTTCATTGTCCACTCAGCGCAAGTTGCCAATTCCAGTTCTGGGAAAACACTCTTCTGGAGTGCCTGGAGGCTTTGTAGTAAGCGTTGCATGCTCGCATTTATCAAGAAGTCTCAGGGGTTGACTCAACTATTGTTGATTGTCGGGGTACGATTGTGTATTTAGACTTTTCTTTTTCCCATATTAGCACTGAAAACTACACTCCCAGGGAGGGGCATGAATTGCAGATCTGGCAGATGATAGTAGCTGTATGTGTCACATGAGGGGACTGTAGAACTTGTGAACACTTCTTTTTTTTTCACAAAATTTCTGAGTATTTTATTGCCATTCTTGATGTCTTCGGGGAGACAGCAAATTTAGGATGTTCGAGTAATTCTGCAAAAGACAGGAATTGAACGAAATCAGTCAGACTGGCCAGCATTATTTCAGAAAATATGGCTCTCACACATCTTACACCATTAAGGTAATGAGCATCTATTTTTAGAAAAGTATTTATACAACAAAGATGATTCAGTTCAGTCAGCTTTTGGGTTATCAAGTAGAGTAGCAGCTTAAAGATCACACCTGGTTGTAAAGCCTTTCATTTCACTGCTATTTTTTTCTGGATTATTTTTAGCAGGATTTACTGGGAATTATGCTTTATAGCAACTAATTATATTAAATTTGTTCATTTTGCTGTGTATTGTAAGCTACTGTGTAAATATATTCCAGTTTCTTCAGCAAGAGTTTGTGAGGAAATGCAAACAAGTTCTTTCTGAGATTCCTGTTGTTGTAGAACTGTGTGTTCTCTCAGGTTCATTTTGTTGTTTTGTTTTCTTTTGTTTTGTTTTCTATCTGTGCATTGTATATTCAAAAGAAGGTTTTCTTTAATGGTTGAAGGGTTTTTTTTGTTTAATGAACAAGGCAGATCGGCCAGCATTATTTCAGGAAATGTGGCTTTCAAATACCTTACACTCTTAAGGTAATAAGCATCTATTTTTAGACAAGTATTTATAGAACAGGGGCATTTGCTTTCAGGTAGACTATAGAGATACTTTAATGGACATTAATATGCAGTTGCAGTTGACTTGAAGATAAGTAAACTATTGCAGGGGAAAAAATAAAATTGTTCATATTGTAAATACTATTTCTTCACCTTTTTAGTAGATGCTTGTCAGATATATTTCTGAAATAGTATAGTACTGCTGATTTACTAAGAGTTCTGTATAAAATTTTGTGTAGCTCTATCAAGACTGATGGATTTTTTTAACATTAATTTCCAGTAAGTTATAAAGTAGACAAGTCAGATTTTGTAAAATACTTTAACATGTATATTAAGCCCCATTGAATTCAGTAAGATCTAAGGGTACATTTTCATGCTCTGTTATATCAGGTCTCAGGAGAGTAAAAAGGATAAAAGGTCTTGTGAGGGGAGGACATATTCTGACTGTCTTGTTCAGAAGGAAATCCCATATGGAAAGAATAAACTTTATAAATTTAATTATATGAATTAGAGAATGTTCTAGGAAGATAAAATGTTTAACTTTGAATGTGGAAAAAAAATCTTTAACTGAACTTCATTGAGCTTTTAAGAATAGAAACAGCTGTTCAAAGTGTTCAGTGATAGAGATCCATATTTGAAAATCTCAAATCCTGAAAATGAGGCCTAAATCATTAATTAAGAACCCTGCAATATCTTATTTGGAATGCTTCTGACATGAATAACACCTCAGCTGAATTAATCTGAACTTTCCAGACGAATAAATTCTGTGTAAAAATTAGACACGAATATGGCTCCAGGATCCAGTTTGCTGACAACACTGATGCTTGCTTTCCAGAAGTGTGTGCTTTATTGGCCAGAAAAAAGAGGAATCTATGGGAAGGTTGAAGTCCTTGTCAACAGTGTGCAAGAATGTGAGAACTATACTGTCCGTCAGCTTACAATAAAGGTAACGACAATGTGTATCTGAAGAGCATTGTTCCTAATCCTTTTTTTTTTATGTTAATTGACATTAAAGTTTTTTTTTAAAGGGCATAAATTTTTTACAGAAGGAGTAACTGAGCTTTGAAGCTCACATCTGCAAGGTGTGATTGAGGCCAAAGCGCTGGAGCACTTATCCTGCTTTGTATCACTCTGGCAACAAAAAAGGCTTCAAAAAGAGTGCTTCAAGAGAGTTTCACTCTCTTGAATTACATTTGCTTTGAGGCCTTTTTAACATTGCCAAGGCAATGTAAAGGGATTTTAGTTAATGAAAGAACTAGCACAGGACCATTCTGAGAAGATACACTGCTCGTGTTATTTGCTGACTGTATCTATAGTCCACTTAAGAACCTAAAAATATAAAAAGTATATAAGGAGAGCTTCATTCTTTCATGGTTCTGACTAAACATTAACTGTAAAAATAAGGCAGGTGCTCCTTTTCTAAGTTGCTCCCCATATTACACTTATGTGCCATTGGATTGCATCATCTGCTGCTCCTGACAGATCTTTACCTTAAATAATTAATAGGGAAAAATTGTTTGGTGTTCCAGCCCAGGCAGTGAGAAGTGGGCAGAAGTCATTACCATCCAACAGAAATTACTCTAGCCCATATTTAGCCCCTTTGCTGGTTGAAGTGGTAGCAACCTTAGTTGGAGAGAATAACTGGATAAACTAGGATGTTTGGTTAATCTAGAAGGGCAGTTCCTCTTCACCTTTAATTAAAACTCTTGTAATTTTTGTATCAGACCCTTATGATAATATCCTTAAAAGGCAGTGGAAATATGTAATGATTTAGAGATTCAGAACCCCATGCCAAGCAAATCTCTCTAGATTTTATTGCAGATCTAACACCAACCTCTGACAATTCCCAGTTGAAAACACAGTCGGTCAGTCAGTAGCTGGATGGACAAAGCAGAACTTAACATAGGTAGAAAAACAGCTAAGTTTTCAGGTGCACAAACCCTTCTTACAATTGGGTCCCTGGCAGCATGCCTGTTGCCTGCACTTATATCCTCTGAGTCTGATAAAAAAAAAAAATATTAAATGTCTCTTACCATTTTTACTGTCTTTTTACCGTAACATTGAGAGAAATAAAAAAGAATTGTTCATCACAAGTGTGCATATAAAGTCTTCATGTTTCTTTCAGCAAGGGAGCCAGTCCCAGAGTGTGAAACACTACTGGTACACATCCTGGCCAGACCACAAAACCCCCGACAGCGCTCAGCCTCTGCTGCAGCTCATGCTGGATGTAGAAGAGGACAGAGTGGAATCACCAGGCAGAGGGCCTGTCGTTGTGCACTGCAGGTAATTTGCAATCTCTTCTCTTACATGACTGCCCAAAGCAAGGACACAGCAAAACCCATCAAACAGTTCTCCTCCTAAACAAACAGCATATTTTGGGAAGAGTAAAATTCCCCAGATTCTTTTCATGCTAACTGATATTTTCAGTTCATATCTGAGGATTTGAGTTTTGGAGAGAACTCCCTTGTTGCTAGCAAATAATTTCTGAACCATTCTGCTAATGAACTCTGATTTTGAAAGACCAGCTGGAAAAAATTATTTTGCTTCCGTTTCTTATTCATGCTTTCTTTTTAGTCTTTTTGCATACTTACATGCCTACGTCAAGTACAATGTCCTGTGGCTGATTGGCTAAAACGTTGTAAAGCAAGTCAGTTTTGAACAGCAGGCATCAGGTACAGGTTTGGAGACCAAAAGACATCAGTCCTAAAAATTCGTTAATGTTTTCACAAAGCCAGTTGGTTTGATACTCAAGAGCAAAATGTTATTCAGTACTCAAGAGCAGAGTGTTACTTAGACAAATTGTAATGAACCAGAGAATGTTCCTCTACTAATTGTAATTAAATTCGATTTTTGAGCTTTGTATTGATTCACTGCCCCATGTTGCAATTAAAGTAGTAGGAAGTAGTACTGGTTTTGTTATGTAGGTGGAAAAAAGTAGGTGAAGCCAAACAGAAAAAAAAAATCAGTGCTGTCTTACTTGCTTTGTCCCATAACTGGGATGATGCATCTCTTACAGTTGGAATAGTACTCTTTTTTTTTCACTAGAGATACATCAAAAGAGAACTTTTCATTTTGAACCACTTCTTTTCGACTCCAAACTTAGGAGATTTAGAGAAATGAAAGCCAGATTTGAACCACCCATCATTTTCAAAACCAGAATGTGATGAATAAGGAAGTTTCCCAAATTTTGTGCAGCTGTTCTTGTCAAGAGTTACAGTTTTCCTAAACAATCCACAAATCTGTGGATAGGTATTGAGAGTCCCATTTTTCTAGTAAGGATCTTCAGTAATGAAGGTCTTTAGAAGAACGGGATGTGTTTCTGAGGTGAGTGATATGACAGTACCGTCTGTAATCATGAGCAGGAATTTATTCATGATAAAAGACCAGATATCATAGAATCATAGAATCATA